TCACTCCACATTATGAGCTGATAAACATAACTAAAGAAATGAGCAAATCTGTGCTAACTGGGACCACTACAAATCTATTTTACATAATCTCAACTGGGCCCTCACTCCAACAAGGCAATCTTTTTATACCTCTGTAATCTATTTTTTTCTATCTATCTGTTTATCTCTCTATGTGTACATATGATTTCTCTCCCATTAGAATTTAAGCCCTTGGAACACAAGTATGGTTTTTACTTTGTCTTTGTGTCCTCAGCACTTAGCACAGGCCTGGAAAACAGGGAGTAATTAATAAATGCTTGTATAATAAGTGAATGACTGAATATATACAGAATAGAAATTAATGCTTTATGATTTTGTCCACATTAACATATGGATGTACATAAAAATATATACACCTATCTATATAAAATTTGGAAAGAAATTATGGAGCAGAGATTGGAAGAAGAGTGGTCAAAATTACTTGCTCTTTTAAATCAAATATTTAGACTTACCTGGTATAGAAGACATGAGAAGATATGCATCACTTCTGACATTAATTGATCCATGATTATCATTCACGTGAGTACTCCTGGCTGTCTATGAAACTCTTGTCTATATCCTCAAAGAAGCCAATGTACTGGGTACCTTTTTCTAGAATTCTTGATATTGGGGATCAAGGGAATATAAGCTATCACTCCCTCTCACTATATTGCTGGTTCATGACCTTTCTGGTAATGCATATCACTAAAGGTATCCTTTATGTCACTTCTTCTGAATAATTCTTTGTTGATAATATGCTGTTATCGTACTCATGCCCACCATGAGTCTCTCCATTGTCCTTTGGGTACCTGTTATTTTAATTCTCTAGGGACTTTGGTGTTAATTATTCCAGACTTCCAGCTACAAAGTCTCAACAGAAGAACATTCATGTTAAGAATTAGGTGAAAACTATGATGATGGTTAAAAAAAAAAGTCATAAATAAAAGCTTTTTTAATTAAAAAATAAGACTTTATTCAGAGAAAACAGCAGGTCTTATTAAAAGCATTACACAATTTCCTGACAATACTTTCCTGCTTTCCTCTTACTCAATCTCAGACCCAATTCATTATTGTTCATCCACAATATCTAAGATATATGTACTGATGGACGAATTTTATAGGTTGTCCATCCAACTGGTTGTCATAGAGCCTGGACAATAAAGGTAACAGAAAAAAATAGCAATTAACTATTAACCCATATTTTCTCATCTAAAAAAAATTTATGAGAATGAGAAACATCAAAGACATTGTGAAGAAGATATAAGAAAAGAACTGACAGTCTTCTCCCAATTATAAATTCTACTGTACACCACATCTTTATACTTCATCACAAGGCATAAGTGTGTTGGGATTTTCTTATATTTTGGTGAATTATTGGTTAGTAGAAGGAAGAGACATGAAAACTAAAGAAGAAAAATGTCACCATTAAAAGGAAATTCTATCTCTTATGTTAAGAGACAAATGTAGGACACTTGCTCAGGGGATATTGCAAAATATTAGGGTTATTTATGGGCACACAATGTCTGAATTTTCCAAGTTATATCCAAAATATTGTCACTAAGAGTCAACAAAACTGTTAAATTAAGAACTCAGAACTCAGTATATTAAACAATAGAATTTCATGCTATACAAAATCTTTTTTTCTTTTAGATAATAAGAAAATTAAATCTAAACTGATTAAGACATTTAGAGGTTTAACAACTCAACAATATCTTAACTTCCTGTTGCTTTTTTCAGCATTCTAATAGCAAACCTGGAACAACCCGCATCATTTCCTGTTAATTAACCTTTACAAGTGATACCTATTAATTCTGTCACTTGTTATTGACAGAGTTATCCAGTTCACCAAATGTCACAGAAGGAATTTCTGCTAAAGACAAGTCATTTCTGTTTTCAAGTACAATAATCAGATCACAATGCATATCAGCAGGGTATTGTTGTACGTGTTTGGCAAGTCTCTGGGTAAAACAGCTAACCTGACACTTTAACAGAAAGAACAACAGACTAGCAGGGCTAGTTTCCAACCCTCTTATAGCTGATTAGTTCCTATAACAGTAGCTGATTCTGATATATTTCTAAGGAGAAAATGAACATAAAACAGAAATGTCATTCCACTGAAGCCTTTCTAGGTAACCACTACTAGAAATATAAAATTATTTTGGGAAAGAAACACACTCCTTGTCTGTATACGTATTTGTGCGCTAAGAGTTTCAGGGAGAAAAAAAGAAGATCTGTGTTTCGTCTGCCTTGGATAAAACATAACATAGGATTTTGTTCTACAATTCTAATGTTTTGTCATAAAATATTTATTATCATAACCTATGTTTATAACATATAATATATCCCCCTTTCAGTTCTATAATATCCATGAGAAAAGAAACTGTCTTCCTCTATCCTTCCCAGTGCCTAGAATAGTTTCTGTACACACTAAATACTTAATAAATGTTTGTTTTATGAATTAGTTAATATTTGTTGAATAAATAGCTTGGATTCTATAAGGATGCACGTAATACTACTATAGTTAAGTGTATATTTCAGTATAATTCTTATATTTCTATATATAATTTATATATAATTATACATAATTTATATATGTGTATTTATATATGTATATATAATGTATTTCTGTATGTAAAATTCTGTATATTTCTATATAATTCTGTGTATATAATACATTCATGCTCAACTCTTACCTAATGCCTATCTTTTATTCCCAACATCCAAATAACTTCCATCATTTTTACCTCCAAAATTCCTTCCATATCATCCTTCTTTGTACGAATCCTTGTATACCTGGTATTTACGCATGCATACAAGAAGATGAGTGGCATCCAATGAATTTTTATGTGTGCATATGTATTTATGTATTTAAATACCTATATTATATTATATCATATTCCTTTCTATCTATATTTTCTCCAAAGGTCTACCATATCTAACTTTTCTAAAATTCTATTCACCTCCTTAACTTCTTTCTTGTTAATATTGTGTTTAGATTTATCTAGTTGTGAGAGGGGGAGGTTGAGGTCCCCCACCAGTATAGTTTTGCTGTCTATTTCTTCCTGTAACTCCCTGAACTTCTCTAAAACCATCAGTAAGCATAATATGTAAAGGGGATAAGGTAGAAGATTTCTAATAAGATCAGGGGTGAAACAAGAATGTCCATTATCACCACTGTTATTCAATATAGTACTAGAAATGTTAGGTTTAGCAATAAAAGAAGAAAAAGAAAATGAAGGAATTAGAATAGACAAAGAAGAAACAAAGCTATCACTTTTTGCAGATGATATGATGATATACCCAGAGATTCCTAGAAAATCAAGTAAAAAACTACTTGAAATAATAAGCAACTTTAGCAAAGTTGCAGTATATAAAGTAAACCCACATAAATCATAGCATTTCTATATATTACCAACAAAGCCAAACAGGAAAAGATAGAAAGAGAAATTCCATTTAAAGTTACTGTAGACATTATAAAATAATTAGGAGTCTACCTGCCAAAACAAACCCAAGAACTATCTGAACACAATTACAAAACACTTCTCAAACAAATAAAGTCAGATCCAAATAACTGGAAAAATATCAGTTGTTCATGGGTAGGCTGAGCTAATATAATATAAATAATAATTCTACCAAATTAATTTACTTATTCAGTGCCATACTAATCAAACTACCAAAAAATTATTTTACAGAGCTAGGAAAAACAATAACAAAACTCGACTGGAAGAACAAAAGGTCAAAAATATCAGGGCAGTTAATGAAAATAAATGAAAGGGAATGTGGCCAAGCCATACCAGATCTTAAATTGTATTATAAAGCAGTAATCATCAAAACTACTTGGTACTGGCTAAGAAATAGAGTGGTGGATCAGTGCAGTAAGGTGGTACACAAGTCACAGTAATCTATGACTATAGTGATCTACTGTTTAATAAACCAAAAGACTCCAGCTTCTGGGATAAGAACTCATTATTTAACAAAAACTGCTGGAAAAACTGGAAAACACTATGGCAAAAACTAGGCATAGACCAACATCTTATACCATATACTAAGATAAAGTCAAAATGGGCACACAATGTAGACATAAAGGTTGGTACTATAAGCAAAGTAGGAGAGCAGGGAATAGTTTACCTGTCAGATTTATGGAGAACAGAAGAATTTATGACCAAACAAGAAAGAGAGAACATTATGACATGAAAATAGAACTTGTGAATAAGAGTTATTCCCCCTATATTCATAAGAATATGAAAATGATGGAGCAAATTTGTGGAAACTCCTCTCTGCTACTTAAAAAGAAAAGTAGCTCCACCAATTCCAGTCTTTATCAGCAACTTATAATTCATTCATGAATCATTCATTTCTTTTTCTACTCACCAATCTCAGTCAACATCTGATTGCTTGGCCAGATGTCAAAAATTCAGACTACTTAACCAGATGTAGTCTGAACAACAGAATACAGTGAGTAGAGTTCCCATGACCTGGAAACTATACTTCATTAGAGTTAAAAATTGCATTAGTAATTTTAAAAAGCAGCAACATATTTGGGAACATATGTTATCCACATAAAACCCATATTAACCAACAAAACCCAAAACATGTTAAATGAAGTTAAGATTATTGATAAAAACCTCAGCTGTCTTAAATATAAAGCATCAGCTTATAGTTTTACCTGACTACAAAGAAATCACAAAGAACATTTTGAGCAGTTTCAGGTAATCAAGTTTCAGATCTCAATCTTCACTACATACAAAGGGTTAACACAGTTAACAAATAACTTTGTCATTTGTTATTTGATAACAAATACTGTTAACATATCATTTATAGTTATTTGCTGACTATTAACAAATAAAGCTATTTCTTATATAAACCACAGAGTTGCATTAAACTGTATCAATCTATCAAAAATTATCAGTTACACATTTTAACTTCAAAATAGTGATTCCTTCCTACTTATATATCAATGACATCTAAAGGCACAATCTTACCATTTTGCTCATCAAGTTCATTCCCAATCTCTTGCCCCATTTGTTTCTGCCGACTTATAATTGAAGAAAGAGCATCAAGGCCAGCATCTTGCTCTAAATGAAACAGATGGAAAAATCATTAAGTCTACAGCTGACATAACATACAAACTGGACCTATCAGATGTAAAACATCAGAAATATACATAACAATGAAATCTTTTCAGTATGAGGTATATACATCTTGATCTCATTCAAGAGAGTTTTGTTCCTGAAATACCAAAAGGATATATGTATCTATATATTTATATCCATAGATAGTACAATGTGTACTATCTATACATAGTGTACTAAAAGGATGAGTATTATCCTCTTACAGCTGCTTCCTTTGGACATGGAAGGTAAAAGGAAAAAGAAAGAAAAAGCAGGGGACATATACTCTGAGGAAAGGAGGAATTTGATTCCAATATATCTATTCCTCTATCTTGTTAAGTCATATAACCCATAAGTCCTCTGAGTATTCTTTCTACTATACCACATTACCTTCAAAGACAGAGTAAGAAATAGACCTGTGACTTCAATGTTTTAGGGCACTGACATGTAAAGAAATTTTATCTACCAATTCATTTTGAATTACCTAGAGCACTAAAATGTGAAGGCACTTCTCCAAGGTCATATATCAGAATTATATAAAACTATTACTCCGGATTTTAGTCTTTTCTCTCTGAAATAAATTCAATATTGAGTAAACTCTTGCAGTTGCAGAAGGTAAGGTAAAGGGAAAAAAAACCTTATCTTAGGTTCAACAAATTGCTACCCCAATTCCCCCACCCCCACCCCTCACTGTACTGATTCTGAGGGTCTATCTTTCAGAGATTGCATGATTTAAAAAAAAACTACTCTTTTCATGCCCATACTGTAGGAAACACTTTACATAATCACCTTCCCCAAAAAAAAGATCCCTTCACTGCCTATAAGAAAGCTTTGATTAGAAAATAAATAAATTATTGTTATGCAAAAGGGTAGGAGCTATATTTTGCTAGTATTTCTAGAACAAGACTAAGGAGCACAATTTAAATGGAAATAGTTCTAGTTCTCTCACAATTATATTTGCTTCCTTTTATTTCATTTGGTATCAAAAAAGTAATAACAGACAAGGACCGTTTGATGTTACAGTGTTCTCATTTAGCAAATTTCATCATGAAAAAGGAATTAAAAATAGAATGCCTTTTTAAAGCTGCTTAAAAAAAAAAGCAAACCTAAAGGTGAAAGCTATTTGACTAAAGTGATTTTATATAATGAGAATACAAATGAGTCTTGCATTAAGAAATCAACTCAAATATCAAATCATCTTGAGGCTTCAGAACAAACTACAATGTATTCATTTTGCAGTAAAGCTGACAATGATCCTGAGCACATATTTCCCACATTTATTTCTGAATACCTTGAATAATTTTCTGCTGCTGTTGTCGAAGGTCATCAAAGCCCAGACCTCTTGTCTCCTCTGGTTCCTCAAAGAACCATGGGTTAGACACAATACGATTAGTAGTTCTTGTCATCAGACTGGACCTAAGAATAATTACACATTTATAACACATATGTCAGAAAAGGTATGTTTGCTACAAAAGGTTACTTCAAGGGAAGCTGGGGAGAAGGAGGGGAATACAACCAAGGTGGTAACATGTTCTTCCCAATCTCCACAAACGCATTTGAGTCATAATTATCCAAGAAGTTTGCCAATGAAGCTCTTTAATTTCTAAGTTTTAAGTACAAATGAAATTGATCTTCATTTTCAAAGTTCCTCTTACAGGTGACATTTACCAAAAGCAAAGGAACTGGAATTATTTCCAGCAGCAAATGTAATTGCAATGCTTTCACCATAAATTATAAGGATAAACCATTGTTCAATTTGATATTTCACATTAAAAGGAAAAAAAGATTCAGGATTATAACTGATTTTAATGAATATATAAGGTAGACAAAGCACTGGACCTGGAGTCAGGAAGACCTGAGTTCAAATGTGATCTTGAGTAATTACTACCTATGTGACTCGAGCAAGTTTCATAACCTCTGTCTGCCTCAGTTTGCTAATCTATAAAACTGAAATAATAATAGCTCTGCCTCCCTCTGTTTTGAGAATAAAATAAGTAAAAATTTGTAAAGTGTTTTAAAGTGCTATATAAATGCTAGATATAAATAATTCTGTTTTAAAAATATAAAAAATTCTGAATTATAAATCCTAATCTTAGTGTACACTATTCCTAACATATGAATTTTTTCTGCTAGCAGTAATGGGCTTTCCATTGGATAACCCATAAACATAGCTAGATTTGTGAGATTTATAGTCTCTTACCCTCATTTTCTGCCTGTCCAAATGCCATCTTTATTTCAAAATCCAGCTCAAGTCCTACCATGTTCCATGAAACCACTGCTGATCTCTTCAACTTACAAGTGATTTCTTACTTCTTGCAAGAATTACTGCTTTTACCAAAGCAGTATAGTGAATAAAACGCAGGACATGGAATTAGTAAGACCTGGGGCCAAATCTGATCTCTGACACTCCCTAGCTGTATGACCATGAGAAAGTCACTAATCACTAACATCTTTGGGCCTGAGTTTTCACATCTCAAAAATCAGAGGGTTAAACTGCAGATCTCTTCAAGAGTTAAATATATGATCCTGGGGCAGCTAGGTGGTGCAGTAGATGGAGCTCTGGCCTTGGAGTCAGGTGGATCTGAGTTCTAATCCAGCCTCAGACACTTGACACTTACTAGCTGTGTGACCCTGGGCAAATCACTTAACCCTGATCACCTCACCAAGAAGTAAAAAAAAAATCCATATTTATATATATATATATATGTATATGTATATATATGATCATATGATCCTATGAGCCATTCATTTAATTTTAATACATGAGGCCTTAAACTTCTTTAATGGCTGTATTCTAATGATGTTTAATTCTTATCTTGTTATTATACACAAAATCCTACTCCTCTAACATGTCCTACTCCAAAGCCTCATCATGGCAGGGTTATGTAAGCATGGGTTCTCAAAAGCTCTGCCAGAAGAGAGCAAACTGACAAATTGTACCATGCTAAAAAGGATTCAAGTACAGTCCCAATAACAGACTATATCTACTTTCCAAATACCAACTATACAATCTAGAAAGAGGTTCATCAGCAGGCGGCTAACCACCTGTTCTTTTGGTAATGTAAACCAAAGAAACAAAGAAAAAATACAAAAAGATCCTGCTTCTGCAGTGATGTTGTCAGAGTAGCAAAGAGCAGGGCAGAAAGTACTAGAAATCACATAGTTCTTTAAACCATCTAGAAATTTTAACTCAACTGTTGATACTCTCAACAGTATGCAGCTAAATGGAAAGGTAGCACATAGGGTCTCCTTAAGAAGGTAAATAATGGAGTTTTCAATCAGTCCTATCATGCATTCAAAAGCCACAAGAGAAATCATTTCACAGTACATTTGGTGACCTTTTATCATAGCAATCATTTGCAAAAAATATCACCATGAAAGTAATTACATACCCATATCTATTTAGAGGATGAAGAAGTATGGAAAATCTGTGAAAGACTAAAGAAAACTTTGCAAATTAAATCAATATATACTTTCTATTTGATTAATTCATTAGGACAACAAATACATATCACCATCCAAATATCATATGAAAATAAGGAATGAGAGAGATCAAAGTTTTGTAGACTACACAAAAGCTTCACACCTACAGGTAACAAATACTTTAAAAAAAAAAAGAGGTTCAACACTATTTGACAAAAACTGTTGGGAAAACTAGAAAGTAATCTGGCAGAAACTAGGCATAGGCCAATGTCTCACACCACATACCAAGATAAGCTCAAAATGGGTACATGATTTAGACATGAAGATTGACATAAGCAAATTAATGGAAGAAATTATATGTCAGATCTTCAGATAAGGGAAGAGTTCATGACCAAATAAGAGATAGAGAGGTTCACAGGTGATAAAATGGATAATTTTGATTATATAAAATTTAAACTTTCTGCACAAACAAAACTAATACAATCAAAATCAGAGAAAAAAACTAGAGGGAGGGGAAGAAGCTTTGTAGCAAGTTTCTCTGATAAAGGTTTCATTTCTCAAATACATAGGAAGTGAACAAAATTTATAAGAATAAGAGCCATTTCTCCAATTGGTAAATGGCAAAGGGATATGAACAGGCAGTTTTCAGAGGAAGAAATCAAAATTATCATTGTCATATGAAAAAATTATCCAAATAACTTAATAATTAAATAAATGCAAATTAAAATAGCTCTGAAGTACCACCACCTCACATTCAGTAGACTGGCTAATACAACAGATAAAGAAAATGACAAAAGCTGAAAGGAATATGGAAAAATAGGTACACTGAAGCACTGATGGTGAAGCTATGAACTAGTAAAACAATTTTGGAGAGAAATTTGGAATTGTGCCCCCAAAGCTATAAAACTGATCCATCAATACCACTAATTGGGCCTATACCCCAAAGAAATCAAAGAAAAAGGAAAAGGACACCTGTGTACAAAAATATTTATAAGCATTTTTTTTTTGGTAGCAAAGAACTGGAGATGCAGGGAATACCCATCGATTGGGGAATGGCTGAATAAGTTATGGTATATGATTGTAGTATATGAATGAATGTGCTATAAGAAATGACGAAGGGGAGTGTGGGGTCCAATTTGGGAAAAGGCCATAAAACACAGTAAGAAAGTCATAAATTTAAACTCTGTGAAAGGTAGAAGCCTAGACATGGTGAACTGTTAAAAATCATAATTCAAACACTGAGTCATAACATAGATACTCTGACCAATGAAAGCCATAACGTGGACACAGTGACCAGTTCATGATCTTGTGTTTTGGCATTTACTCAATTAACATTGGCATAATAACCAAGCTTGGAAATGAGCTCATTACTAAGCAGAAACCCCAAAATATCCATCAATCAGTAACAATGTGCTTTATAGCTCCACTTCCCTTTGCTTTCTATAATTTACCACTGAGCTTTCCTGGGATCTTTATAGGGATTCAACCTGTAGTCTGGCCACCGCCCCAGACTGATGACTATCAAACTCTTGGCAGTGATCGATCATACTGCCCCAATGTAAGTATCCAACTGATTAAACTACTACCTATAATCAATCTGGAACTCTTTGGCCTCTACCCTTGGTATCAAACTTGCCCCATTTTTTGGGAAAGAGGTCCACAGTTACCTAGGTGGGGGAATTCCACCTACAAGGAGAGTTTCAGAAAAACCTTGGAAGATTTATATAAATTGCTGCAAAGTGAAACATGCAGAACCAGGAGAAAAATGTACATGACAAAAGCAATATTATAAATACGATCAACTGAAAAGGCTTAGTAAGTGATCAATACAATGATCAACCACGATTCCAAATAATAAGAAATTCTATCCTCCAGAGAGAGAACTTCTTCACTTTCTGCCATCAGAGTGGCATCATCTGCATATCTGAGATTGTTGATATTTCTCCCAGCAACCTAATTCTGGCTTTTGATTCATCCAGTTCAGCATTTCACATGATGTACTCTGCATATAAGTTAAATAAATAAGGTAACAATTTACAGTCCTGTTATATTCCTTTTGTAATCTTAAACTAATCAGTTGTTCCACATTCAGTTTTAACTGATGCTTCTTGACCCACAAACAAGTTCCTCAGGAGACAAGTAAGATGATCTGGTACTCCCATATCTTGGAGGACTTGCCACATGTGATCTACACAGTCAAAGGTTCTAGAGTGGTCAATGAAGCAGAAGATGTTTTTGTTTTTTGTTTGCTTTTTTTTTTCTGGAACTCTCTTGCTTTCTTCATAATGTAGCGAATGTTGGCAGTTTGGTCTCTGGTTCCTCTGTGTCTTCAAAAACCAGCCTGCTTTTCTGGTAATTCTAGGTTGATATATTATTAAAGCCTAGTTTGCAGAATCTTAAGCATAAACTTGCTGGCATGTGAAATCTGAACATTCCTTAGCATTGTCCTTCTTTAGAATTAGGACATAAACTGATCTTTTCCAATCCAGTGGTCACTGTTGAGTCTTCCAAATTTGCTGGCATATTAAGTACAGCACTTTAATACCATCATCTTTTAGGATTTTAAATAGTAGAGCTAGAATTCCATCACCTGTCAGCTTTATTGTTAGCAACCCTTCCCAAGGCCCACTTGATGTCATTCCCCAGAAGGTCTGGCTCTACATCAGTAAACACACTATCATGATTATCAGTGACAGTAAGATTTTTCTTGTATAGTTCTTTTGTATATTCTTGCCACCTCTTCTTAATCTCATCTGCTTCTGTTAAGTCCCTACCAGTTTTATTTTTTATCATGCCTGTATTTGCATGAAACATTCCACTGATATCTCTAATTTCCTTGAAAAGATCTAGTCTCCCTTCTCTCTGTTGATTATCTTCAATTTATCCTGTACATAACTTGTTTGTTATAGTTCTTTGCATATCTGTCTCTCCAATTAAACTGAGCTCCTTAATAGCAGGGATTGTCTTTTGCCTTTCTTTGCATCTCTACTGCT